GAAAGACCAATTCCACATTTGCAAACCATCTTTTAGCAGAAGGACACGAGTTCAATCATGAGTACGAGGTGTTACATTTAGAAGAGAAGAGTTTGAAACTTAATCATCTAGAATGTTTAGAAATCAATAGATTCAGGAATTCGGGTAATTTACTGAATGATCAATTAGAACTCAATAACTCTCCGTTACTGAATATATTTTTTCAAATGTGAAAATGGAACATAAGTGCAGGTAATTTAATTCGTTAGAAACTCAGGTAAAATATCAGCTACTTAAAATTCAGGTACTTCGTTTACAGGTACTTTGATTTCAGGTACTCCATAAACTATATATATATTTAGTATTGAATGTGTAGAATTAGTTGAAAGACACGCCAGATGATGCCATTGTATGGCGAAACACGTGTTGCGTTTTTGTAAAACAATTTAGTGAAAATCTCACAATAAAGTGTTTTTGGAATACGTTAGTTATGGATTTTCATCAAGTATCGGCCGATTCCATCATAATCTCTAGCGATTCAAATCCAACTTGAATCGTAACTTTCGCACAGACACCGCTCTTTTGAGAGCCTTGAGGATTTTTCTGTACTGCTTGTGTTCTGTCTTTAAAAAAATAGATTGTCTAAGAATATATAGTGATTATGATTGTTTTTTGACCGACGTGACTTTGAAAAATCTATTTTCCATATCGATTATTGTTTGTATATTTTTTAACCTCAATAATAACAGCTACAATTACTTAAGTCTATGTCACATTGTCAAAATGCCTAAGGGCATCAATTGCCATCGTTTCTGAGACCCTGAGGTGCTAAAAAAAATGTTGAATAAGTATTTCGTAAACAACTTGCAGGTGATATCCATTACTTCACTGTGCCTGTAGCCGATTTTAAGGAAGATTCAGCTCATAACTGGAGAAAGTTATTATATTAGTCAGAAATAGCCTTCAACTTATTCAGTCTACTATAAACCGCGTGCTGAAAAATGAATATCGAAGAATTTAGAGAGTTCGGCAAAGCCAGTGTTGATTATATTGCGGATTACTTGGAAAATATAAGGAATATGTGAGTACTTTGATAAATATTCACTAATCGATGACATGTCCATTCTTTTCAAACTTTTGTAATTATAATTGATGTTATGTTATATTTGGAAGAGATTATTTTTTTGTAGAAATCCTTTTTGCTTTTCTACTTCTCGAACTTCGCTGCCACTCGCTTCATGCCCGAAATTTCCACAACAATTATATGGCATGAGCACACCGATATATCTACATCTCCAGCAATTTCTATAATAGTGATTCTGCATAACAATTTTCTTCACTTTCTCAACATTTCTATCGATTGTGGATGTGTTGTGGCTTCCAGGGCGAGCGTCGTCTTTGACATCTTTGTGAAAACGTAAATATTTTTATGACTCAGAGTACAATCACCGTATGCCACTGTCAACATTTCGAGTGTTTTTTTGGCACTCAATTCTATTTTTCATACGCGAAACCTTGAAATAATTTCAATGTATCAGTAATTTTGCACCATCTTGGCTATCAGATCAGTGTAATTGTCTGTATCGAATTATAACCGTTTATTTAGCATGACGTCTGTGTTATCTTCGACATCTTCATTTCTACAAAATGAATTTGATTACTTTGTCGATTTATATCAATTATCATTAATTCACACACATTCAAAACTTTGTACTTCTTTCATTCACCTTTTTCTAAATGATTGCGGCAACACTGATGATACATGAAATTTATGACGTGTTGAAGTAAGAGGTGGATATGTCAACTTTGTCAGGGAAAAAACTAATAATGAGATCGATAAATATTCAAATCATGAATATTAAAGACTAACGAAGGTTCCAACAAGGACTGTTACTTTTTTTTGAGGATAAAAAACAAGTACTATAAAATTTCGCACACTATACTAGAAAACACAGTATGAAATCAAAAATTATAAAACATACATATGTAAAACAAAAATTTCGAAGGAATTTGTATCAACACTTGAAGAAAACTTGAATAAATTAATATCATTCAAGTTCTGATCTGAATGTTCTGGAATACAAGCGTTTTTTCAGATGTTCATTTTTTGTTTGAAGGATGGTAGTTTTCATATCAAAGATGTGATTTGGATAGAATAGCTATTCATTATATGATACCGTATAAAACCATGACTGTAAACGTACCGGCACATGCTAAAAATATTCTTTTATGCGGTTTATATGAAACAATGCCCATTAGACCGTTTCGTCACCGATCTGGCACGTAGCGTAGCATGCACGTGCCATGAAAGTATTCGAGTCGAGAATAATTTGCCGGTGCTGATACGCAACGTGCATACGAAACGGTGTATAAACGGGTTATAAATCATTTTCAATTTTATTCGGCAATACATTCCATTGAAATGTAGATAATCTCACCGCCATATTCGTTCTTCGTGGTAAACTCTTCTACACGCTCACACTACACTGATGAGTAAGCCGAAAAAACATTCAATACTTCACATTACCTATAGTTGTCAAACGGGTATCTAACGGTCATCATACCCGTATGATACGGTCATTTCGTCGTCGTGTCGTGTTATTTTCCGTGTCTGATACGGTCCTAGCACGGTCATGGTTGGTACGGTATAGTGGGCAGAGACCTTAAAAGTAAAGTTTTATTTTGTGAGTGAAAACAAAATAAAACTTACTTTCAACAGAAATATCACACACATTTTTTTGTACAACTGTCCTGTTTTCATAATAAATTAGATAAATTTAATATTTCTCTAAAAACACATTTTGACATCTCTTATCTGTTAACTATTTTCATGTTATCGCATTTGCTGTGAAGTGCCCGTGTCAGGTGACACCGAATCACCTGGGGCCTATAACACAACCACTACAAGTTTAACAAGTGTATGAATAAATTATACAAGTGTAGATATTCTGTAACATAAAGTAACTTGTAGTTACTAGTGGGCCACTGGTAATTACGGGACTTTCTCTACAATTGTAGTATCTTTTCGTAACACAAAAATGAGACTTGTACAGTCGTGTTACGAAATTGTCGACAATTGTAGACAATTTTCCACCTATCTTGATTGATAAGTAGATTGTGCGTACTAGTGTAGTGAAGTCTTTCATCGTGAGCGTATATCTATAATTCGACTGTCGATATATGGTCAAGCAATTCGGATAGTGAAAACTAAAGTGGTCATGCAGTATATCGCTATCGGGAGAGAAGTAACTTTGTCATACTGACAGACGGGGAATTTGTGGAAAGGTTCAGACTTAGTGGACAACACTGTCAAAGTCTTCTTCAAATATAGGTCCAGCCACAGCGAATATAACGATTCGAGGGTATGGCTTGTCACCATTACAGAAATTGCGTATTGCTCTGTATTGGTTTGGAAACGGAGGGCAATACCATGGAGTTTGTGATATGCATGGAGAATCAAAGATGACCGTATGCAGTTGTGTTCACGAAGTTACTGCTGCCGTAAATGAAATAAAATTTGATGTATTAGTTCGATGGTCCGACAATACAGGGAAGGTAATATGTATAATGTTTTCATAATTGGGCAGGATTTCATGAAGTTTGTGGAGCTGTAGATGGAATCCTCATAAATATCGATGCCTCCACAAACAACGAACCTGTTTACATCGATCGCCATGGGAAGCATTCCATCAACTGCATGACTGTATGTGGGCCTGAATTAACCCTTCAGTAGACGCAGCTGGTCTAGTGGACCGGACAGGATTATAATGGGTATTTCGGAAACGTAATCGGGCGTGTACGGAACTCTCCGGCCGAGTACCTTCCATTTATGGGATGATAGATCAGTGTGTATTTTTTCGATGACGATGCTAGAATAGTAAGTGAGTAATTGGACAAACTGGTGCGGAGGACCGTGTGCGATTACTGTAGTCAAAATTATGGATTATGAAAGAGAGCAGGAAAGACTTTTGCGTCTTTTTGAGGAAGTCCAACCAAAAGATGGATTCGATGACGAAGAAGAATCAGGAAAGGAAGATAACATTGAAGAAAGGTCAGAGGGAAGCGAAACAGAGGAAGAAGTTGAGGAATTAGAAGTTAGGGAAGAATTATCTTTCATTCGTGGACCGTACTTTATTGGAAAAGACCACAAAACAAAATGGGCCGAACATAGAGGACCTAAAAATGTTAGAACTCGAAGAGAAAATATTGTTTTGCAACTTCCAGGATGAAAACCATGTGTTAGAAATATAACCAATATCCAAGATATTTGGAATAATTTATTCGATTCGAACATGTTACAAATGATCGTTGATAACACGAACACTAAAATTGAGGCAGAGAGGCACAAGTTTAGCCGTGAACGAGATATATATCCAACAAACATTGACGAAATTCGTGCATTGATAGGCCTGTTATATCTTGCAGGTGTGAGAAAAGCAAGTCATTTGAACACCCTTGATTTATGGAAAACAGATGGCACTGGTATGGAGGTGTTCCGTTTGACAATGAACATTACCAGGTTCAGATATTTTTTGAGATATATGCAAATTGGCGCGCGGGTACTCCGTAACAGTTCTCTGTTTCATAGAATGGAAAACGATTGGAGACCTCCTGCAAATGCTGTCATTCTTGGAGATTCCGTTTATCCTTTGCGTGAACCGCAGACCGCATTCAACAGAGCTCATAAACGGACTCGACGCATTATTGAAAACGCTTTTGGCGTATTGAAGGAAAAATTTACATGTTTGAACCACCTACGAGTTGATCCAGTCTTCGCAGCAAATATTTTTTAATGTAGTGCAACATTGTGCAATATTACAAAAATTGATGAAGATGATAATATGGTATTGAATGGTGATGATGATGATCAAGGTGACGAATATAACCTCAGAGATAACGAAGCACCTCCACTAGCAGCAGCAGCTCGAGCTAGAGTTCAACAGTTCACAGATTATTTCAGGATAAATAATTATCGTGAAGAAGAAAAATCAACTTCAGTTAATTAAATATGTAAGAGAATATGATTGTTTTTTACGAAACTAAATATTTAAATATGTGATACGCTGGTCCTCTCCATGAGAAATGTAGTCTCCTGCAAAACTTTGTGTAAATTCGGATCTTGGAAGGTTTAGTGCAGTTTCCAACTGTAAAATCTCTAGTTTGGTCTTGTAATTTTGCAGTTTCAGGTGTTCAATTTGCAAGTCAAGTTTTACTTTTTTCTTGTCTGCAATTTCTTCTTGACGTATCATGCCTCGCTTCTGTTTTCCTTAAAAATGTAAACTGTGTGGTGGTAATTGGCAGATGTGAACTATTAGATAAATAATTAGTTAGAGTTTGTTTAATAAAGAAAAATACATAAAACATTTCAATTAGTAGTTTCTCACAAACCAAACTGCAAAAAAGTCATTGCTGATAATATTTTATAAACTAGGACTAATAATGTTCTAAAAACTTTACTTTTGCGGCTGGTTGAAGGTACGCCCAGGTCCTGCGTTAATATTTTCGGCTTTTCTGTTGTTGTGCTGTCTTGAGGTAGCGGTTCTGCATCATCGACTCTCCGTCCAATGATGCTGGTACCCCAAAGCTTACAATCACTGATGACTCTTATCCTAATATATCTAGCACCATATAATCGACATCGTTCAATTTCTCATGACAGCCTGTACCCGTTTTTCTGGCATTATCCACATTTCCTTTAAAATAAAAAGAATATTTTGATAAAATATTATGAATCAGGGCCTATGATTCTAATTCATTTCCAGCAGTTGAAATATTTTAATTGTTGAGAATTGATACGTACGGTTACCAAGCAACATAATATTTTGATTCCAACAATATGCACTTGCCTATTAATATTGAAACACCTCGCATAAGTTCAACTAAACATAAGAGTAACAAAACTAGTACACTACGCTTTTACGTACCATTGTAATTTTTTTCATATTTTGCCATAGTGTGTCTCTGGCATATGTCCACTCTCTATCTGAAGACATTAAACAAACACTTTTTGGAACATTTGCTAATTCTTTCCATTTCTCAACTTTGTCTGTTTTTTTTCAAACGGTCGGAAAATGCACCGAATATAATTTGTTTATTTTCTTTAACTTTTTGTAAAAATTGCATTTTCCTCTCAAATATTACGTGTTTGCTAGCCATAGCTACAAATATTATTTCACTTGTAGTCCTTGCACGAAAACACGTTAAGACATGTTACACCACGAATCGCGTTACCGAAAAAAGCAGGTAAATAAATAAATTGTCTTGTAGGAACAACATATACAAGTGTAGAATATTTTACTACAAGTGTAGAATATTTTACTACAAGTATATGAAATTCTCTTGTGTTACGAAAAATTAGGATACTTGTAGCTATAAACGAATTACTTGTAACTTGTAGACTTGTTACAATTGTAAGATTTGTATTATATGCCCCTGATTACACAAACAGTATTGTTTACAGCTCAAGCGTTTTATTTAAAGTCACATTTCAAGTTCTTGCTGGTGTTTACTGTCTTGCATAATGAAGAAAAATAGTAAGGAATTGTGTGTTCCTGACGATATTGAAGAGGCTGCAAAAAGGGTTTCAAATGAATTGTTACAAAAAANTATCGTCAGTGGCTACTTTGGAAAATTCATCTTTTAATACTATTGACAACCAGTAAAAATGTAACTTTTTATGACGATTGTACAAAAAAACAGTTTATGAGCTGTTAACAAAATTTTACATGTTATTTGAATAAATAAAAGACTAAAGCAGATGATCAGTGATTTCGCAAAATAAGGGCTCGTGCGGGATTCGAACCCACGACCACCACGCGAATAAATTCAGTGTGGTAAGCTCTAACCAACTGAGCTAACGAGCCGCTGAAGACGTTGGTCATGACGATTTATTAAAACGCACTTGATGATATTCCTTCAAAACGAAGTTTGAAATAGAATATATTCAAAAAACATACCAATGTGAGTATTATGCTATCACATAGCGGTTATATAAACTTTCAAGTGGAAATCTGACCTTAGTGTTTTTGGAACACGTTCTGATGGATATTCATCAAGTATCGGTTGGACATCATAGACATAGAATTTTTTTGCCCGTTTCTGGGTAATACAATAACATAATTTGTTTTTTGATATTTTTGGAACATGTCAGAAATTGTATTTCGTTCAGTGGGTTGGCATATGAAATTGTTATATGAAACGTAGAAAAACACCTGTACATAGGGAACTATAATACAGCATAATAATTTGTGTCTATTTTGTTCTCCCAATTGCATTTTATATTAACAACTAAATGCGAGATTCCAACTCTACCAATTCATTTCTTGATTGTTTTATTTTTCAGGAACGTACTCTCCTCGGTTGAGCCGGGATATCTGAGCAACGAACTCCCAGAGAAAACTCCTTTTTTTGGAGAACCTTGGCAGGGTGTTCTTTCGGACGTGGATAGAGTCATAGTACCAGGACTAACTCACTGGCAGTCACCGAATTTTCATGCATATTTTCCAACTGCAAATTCCTATCCTGGAGTGGTCGGCGAATTATTTTCAGCCGGTTTGGGGTGCATATCAACAGACTGGGTGAGATTACATCTCGAAATATCATTCTCAGAACTCAAAAATAGTGTTTTCCATAAGTGTCATCCAACAGTACTTCCGAACTTTGACAATTGATAACGGACGTCTTGTTGATGCTTCATCTGTCAAATTAGGTATTATCAGCCCGTTAGGCATTACACAACACATTCATCCCATAATAAGCTAGGTTTATTTGGTCGAGTGTGAATAGGTGTGAGCCACAATAAACCCTTGCGGGTTGGACCTAACCTAACCTAACTGTAATTTCCATTTAACGGTATTCAGATGACAATTGAAAAATTAATGTTAACGGCCTCCGTCTGTTAAAATTTATCAACGGCCGACGGCCATTAAATATTCAAATATTGTTTTCAAACTTCATTCTGCTTATAATAAAAATGTTCATTTGATATCGCACTTGAGTTATTTTGGGCAGTAAATCGACACTCGCTGCACATGAGTCTCCCAATATTTCTGAAGAAATTTGATGTTGTCCCTCAATTTGTACAATTTCATCCACGGTCGTTGTTAAAGCGAACTTACGAACGCAAAAAACTGACGTTGTTGATAAATTTGTTGTTATATTGTTGAGCTGCTCCATTACAACACGATTTAGGGGTTTTTCTGTAGAATTATGAGGTACGTGGTTTGTTCCTTCCTGGGAATCAAAATGTAATTTTTAAGCGGGATTACGAAAAGTTTTGAACGACACTCGACCGATGAGCAAATAACGAATTCGGTTGTTATAATCCCCAGCTGCGCCTCGGATTACAATATTCAACCTCATCCGTTATTTGCTACATATCGGCCTTGTAACGTTTATAACTATATCAAATTAGGTGTTCTGTTCAGGCAACGTACCGCGTTCCTAGCCCATTTCACAGACGTTTCAATCGTCCTACCGAGAAGACTATTCCACAGTATACTTATTTACAGTAATCCCACTTTGGTTGATTTTTTGTTTGAATTTTCTACCAGCTGACCCAGGAGTTGCAGTCTCAGGTCTGCGCAAACGACGAGTTCAAGACAGGCACGCAACCCTTCCATAGTTGTCGAATTTCATGGGTTTCACCCAACCTACTGTGGTATATTATTCTAAAACTCATGAAAAAATGTTAAAGGTGGTCTCTTATTCCATCAAATTCTGATTGCAGGAATATTAATGGATGAGGCGTCCGTTCTTAGAAATATTCCACGTATTTTATTCGAAAGTGATCATTTTGTCAAATCTACAATAGCGTGTCGGATTATGGTAATTGTCACATTGGCAACAGTGCAAAATGCAATCATAACCACAGTTTACTGTGTCATAACCTTTACTTTCGTCACATCCGAATATGAACATCTGCCGATTCCATGAATTTTTATAATCTACTTGAAACATAGTTCATCGTTGTCCAAATGATCTGGGTTACTTGAATATTACACAAATGCAAAATTATCATTTTTACAATTTCCTCAGGTGCCCAACATGGTTTTCATCGACTGTTTTTTTTGAGCGGTTTATATGAATAGTTGTTATGTTGAGCAGTGCTTAGACGCTTTGGTTGAGATTGTAATAGGGAGAAATGTCATTAGTATCAAATACGTAGCATTGTAAAAACTGAAACTCTTGGACACCAACATCAAAGGGACCGACGCTAAGTGGGACTACTGTATATAAGTATACTGTGACTAGGTATTCGCTATGTGGTGGATAAATTTGAGTCCACTGGTTCAGTGACCGATTGACGTACGACCACGAAACGCAAGATTCCATAAAAATATCGCCGCTGTCTATTTTCATTATCTTTAATAATAGGACTACCGTAATTGTGGTATCATATGTAAAGCAATGGAACTCCATTTTAAGGTACGAACTGCAATTAATTTATTCTTATTGCATGACCAAGAGAAAGAGAAATCCATCACTGCTGTGAAAGTTTGGCTTTTCCAAGTACCGAACTGAACTGTTTCCAAATCCGAGGTTCAAAAGCACGTTGATGTAAGTTTTACCAGGGCCGCAATCAGGACGAAATATTATTGCAATGTATTCAAATTAAGACATTTGGAAATGATAATTTGCATTTGTCTGCTACCAACGGAAATTAGAAAAAAACATTTTGAAAATATCATAGAAGGTGACACAAAAGTACACATTATAATTAATCTAATGGTATAATATATATGAAAAAAAAAAATTGTGATGTTTGTCAGGAACTTTCTATAACAAGTATTTTTTTGAAGTTGGTTAACAATGTTACACGGTGAATTCCATCAGTTTGGACTTGCATTGTCTAATATAAATAGCTAATTAAAATGAATAGCTGATAAAGAAAACCTGAAATGAAGTGACAATAAAATAAAAACTGAGTGGAAAATTAAACAATTAAAATGAAATCAAAGTAAAGATTGAAAGATTTCAAGGAAAGTTACTTCACGACGTTTCGTTTGTAAGTATCCACAATCGTCTTCGGGTGATGGCTGGACTATACCTCCGAGAGATGACTATTTATAGGTCATTCGAGGGCTTTCACTCATCCCCTCTTACCTCGCTCCGTTTCACCGGTTTAGCCGGAGAAGACCGTTTGATGGAAGTTGACCGTTTTCCGCTTGATTATGGGTTTCCATATGTTGCGTATCTCTACGCTAGCTTGGCTGAATGCATCGTTAGACAACATATATGCAGCTTCTTCAAACTTCCTTCTAAATCAGTGTTCCTCCCTGTGGATGATCTCTGCTTTGGACCACTTGATATTATGTTGATGAGCCAAACATGCTCTACTGTTCCCGATTTTTTGGTTTCTCCTCGCTGTGTGTTTGGCAATGGCCTCTCTGTTTTAGCAATATAGGACTTGCCGTACTCACAGGGTATCTGGTAAATGCAATTCTTGGACTCGCAGTCCACGTTTGGTGACCTGATTTTCGTGAGGCTGCTACAGATGGTGTTTCCGTATCTAAAGCAGGTTCTAATGTTATACTTGGATCCAATTCTTCTTATTCTTTCCAACAATCATCTGATGTAGGGGAGTGCAAGCACTGGCCTCTTCCTTGCGAGCCTCTTGATGTTTTCTAGCCAAAGTATGTTCCACCATCATCACCATCATTTTTAATGATGCCTAGTTCCTTCTCGAGACTTTTCTTCGTATTACAGAGCTCTAAAGAACGGTCTTTTGACGTCTTGATGATTCCTCTTTTGGTATATTGAGGGTGGTTGGATAACTGATACTGTTCGGTGTGAGCTTCGTTCGGTTTTGAAAGTTGTAAATGTTGCAAAATAGCTTTCAATGCGGCCAGTATCCAACTTTTCAGACATTGGTTCATATCATAGACCTATAGACATACGCATTTTTTTTAAGTAGCACCATATTCAATAGTGCTTTTGAAATATGGTCACATGTGAGGCAGTTCATTTTTTTACACCGTTCCAGTGCACATTTAGGGAAACTGTAAGTTTTTCATATTCCAGTATCCAATTAATCCCTGTCACTGCTTGAAGAATACTTCTTGCTTGTGGGGTGGAGGAATATTTTACTTCAGCGTCAATCGCCAAGTGACAACCTTTGGATTATTCTAATCATATTTGGCCCATTTTAGGTCAAACCACAAGCTCATTCATCGTTTGTGTAATCATTCGATAATCATAATTGTGAAGAAATTCTTTCTTGGATTTGAAATTTTTACATTCCCTTGCAACCAAAATTTTTCATTTCAAAAATCATTCTGCATATTGCATTTCATTTAAGTAGTCACACGAGTTTCATTTCCAGGAATCCAATCCAGCATGCGTCGAATTAGAAGTTAGAATGATGGACTGGCTGGCTAAAATGTTAGGCTTACCCAATCACTTCCTGAATGAATCAGAAGGACCAGGAGGAGGAGTGATACAGGTAGGTACCGACAACGAGAACTGGATGATAAATGATTCGAATATCTGCATTTCAGAATGCAGCAAGTGAATCTACGCTGGTTGGTTTGCTGTCAGGAAAACAGAGAACAATCAAAACCATTCTAAACAAGAATCCCAAACTGACAGCAAATGAAGTTAAGGAAAAGTTGATAGCATACACATCCAAGGAATCCAATTCGTCTGTTGAAAAGGCCAGTTTGCTGGCTTCTGTACCTATGAGACTCCTTTCAACAGATGATAATTGTAGCTTACGAGGAAAGGTTCTCCAGGAGGCAATAAATGAGGATAGAGCCGCAGGACTGATACCTTGTTGTGTAGTTGCTAGTTTGGGAACAACGGGAACTTGTGCCTTCGATGACTTGGAAGAACTCGGTAAAATTTGCGCGAAGGAAAATATGTGGCTGCATGTTGATGCTGCCTATGCTGGAGCAGCCTTAGTTTGTCCGGAATATAGATATCTAATGAAAGGTGAAATATTTCGTTCATGATTTATTAGATAATTACTATATTTTTTTGATCGATTCCATTTGCAAAAAATGACACAAGTATTGTTCAGAACTAGATGTGACCAGAGTAGTATTCTTGAAAATAAATATGACTAGCCCCAAGAATTTGAATAGTTCATCATGAAAAAAAGCACGTTGATTCTGCGACGGCGTTAATATATTTTTGTGTTTCAACTCAGAAGTGCTCATAATTGAATTGAATCCTCCAATTTTTTTTCACGATATGGCTGAATGATATCCACGAACGGATAACGATCGAAAACTGTGAATTATGAGTCTTATGAATGATTGACATATTCGATATTCAATCCTGAAGTTAGAGGACCTACAAAAGATATGACATCTGGACATATTTTTTTGCCGTTTCCGGGCCAAAATCTATCTATTGATTTTTACTAGTTCGGACTTCCATTGTCTACTATATAAAATGATTTGAAATTCCTGGAACAACTAAAAAAGACGAATTAAAAATGAAAAGCTGAAAATTCGTCTTTTTTAGTTGTTCCAGGGATTTCAAATCATTTAATATAGTGGACAATGGAAGTCCAAACTAGTGAAATTCATCATGAAATATTGTCAATCACCTTCAAACTATCTATTGATGTTGATACTGAAAAACCGTTTCCTGCAAGTGGTCGTCGATGGAAATCTCTCGAATACTTTCACCATCACTGCTGGTGTTCCCCAAGGATCCATATTATCTCCACCCTCTTTTTATTGTATGTCCACGACTTAGTAGAAAAAACCAAGAATCCAATATATTGCTTTGCTGACGACAGCACACTTGTCTCGTCATTCTAGGACATTGGCTGCAGCATATCTCAATGAAAAGCAAGAAGTGATTTCGAATTGGAGTGAAAGTAACCAGTTTCAATTCAATGCCACAAAAACTCAGACATCGGTTTTCTCCAAGAAGATAAAAGTTTCCGAACCGGATATAATAATTTCAGGTCAGACAGTTTCGCTTTCTACTTCGATAAGTTTTTTGGTGGTGAAAATGGACACCAATATGTCTTGGCACAATCATGTTGCTGGAATTGCAAAGGCTGCTTCTTAAAAGCTTGGAACCAGAACCAGAAGACTGTATATACACCTCAGCAACCTTTGATGCTTAATAAATCTCGGATCAGATCTTTTTTGGAGTATTGTTCTCATGTATGGAGCTTTGCCCCCAAACATACCCTGAACTTGCTGGATTCCATCCAGAAAAAAGCTATCCACCTGATTGGAGACGCGAACATCACGTGCAACCTTGATAGCCTGGAACATCGAAGAAAGGTTGGAGATTGGTATCTTTTCTATAGATACTTTCACAAGAAGTGTTCAAGTGACTTGGCACATTTAATTCCACCAAGAGCGGTACATATCAGAATTACGCGACAGACTGTGGTTGCTTATCGTTTTGAGGTTCAACTCAGTACAACTCGTACTTTACTCTCCAGGAACTCTTTCATTTGGAGAACTACGTTTATGCGGGAAAAACTTCCTGAGGACATTTTTCCAAATGGATTTAATCTCCAGCGATTCGAATCCAATGTGAATCTCTACTTTCGCACAGGCACCGCTCTTGGAGCGCCTCGAGGATTTTTCTCTAGTGCTTGTGTTTTGTCCTTGAAAAAACTGTTTTGACGACTTTTCTCACGAAGATGTCACTTTTCAAACATACTTTCCTGTGGCATGAGACTTTACTTCCTTGAGATGAATCGGTGGAAATCACGTTCTTAACTATTTTGTTAACATAAAAATAGTCGGGTGTTAATGATCTTTTTTATTATGAAACAGGAATAACCCAACTGATTTTCCCAACCATCTGTTCATTTACCAACTTGTTACAAACGGGAAACATTGATTTCTCGCGAATCACATTAAATTAACTCAACAGAAAATACGTAAATTCTGCGACATTAATTTACGAGAATTTCAACTCGAGGTTGCGCGTTGAGATAAGAATTTGCGGTTTTGACTTGGAATTGTTCTTGCTTAATAATAATTCTCATTACTTTTCTGTACAAACCACACAGACATTTCTTCAGTTTCTGTAGAGGAATATTTTATGATTCGAAACTCTTATGAGACCATCTCAAATAATTTGAGAAGAAATACGTATTTTTTCAAATCATAACATATTATTTTCTATTGATAACAACAGAAATTGAACCAATATTTGAAGTGATATTAAATATATAAAAATTATTGATACACATAATACTAATTCACTAAGTCATATATTTTTTTCATTTTTTTAATTCAACCTCTCTATAATATTTGCTGTGTACACGTTTTGATAAACCGAAGCATTGATTGAGTACATGCTTCCTCTCGCATGCATGACTTTATCGTCAGTAATTTCTCGAATTTTGATAATCGTTTTGCATTAACTACTACACATAAGTTTGTCCGAACCAAATGGAAAATGGTTTTTCACAATGGATTCCTCCGCATTTATTTATTTCATTGAAAATGCCCAAAACAGTATTTGCAATGATTTTGCTGTATCATAAATGAAACATTTTCACCAAGAGGGCCATGAGCTCTTGTCCAAATTTCATTTCTGATAATTGGGAAGACAGAAAACATTCATAGGCTCTTGAATGGCCAACCTGTCTGTCCCTATTAGTGTCATTTATCAATCTTCATTCCCCGACTAACAAATATAGTCCGGTCAATTTAGACAATCGAAGCTAACTAAATTCTCACCAAGGTTAAATTCAGTAAGATTGTTTGAAATATGATTGAAAATAAAATTTAAAAATCCATCATCTTTCCCCTGTATGGAAAAATTGTATTCAAGGTCAAAGGTGAATAATATGAGTTTTTCGCGATTTTTAGCCAAACGGTAAGTTTTATCATAAAAATATCTCAGACAAAAATTGTAGACCATAAAATTATCTATAAAAAATGTATCAAACAATTTGAAAACTGTTATTTTACCCCTCCTGTAAAATGCAGAAGTCCTATCATAGCCAGTTATTGCGTGTAAAAATAGTAGATGAACTTTTTGATGAATATATTTCCGATTGATGTTGAGCTTTTCCTGGTTTCGAGAAGAAAATAGTTTTTTCAGTTGGAGTTCGAACAGTGAGTAATTAAAGTATGTGAATAATGAAAGTTAACATTTTTCAGGCATCGAATACGTGGACTCTTTCAACTTCAATCCCCACAAATGGTTCCTCGTCAACTCTGACTGTTCGGCAATGTGGTTCAAAAATACTAATGACGTAGAGGCAGCGTTCAAGCTGCAGTCATCGATGATCAAGGATCCTACATTCAAACCACAAATTGAAGACTGGCAGATACCAACATCAAGACGTTTCAGAGCTCTTAAGCTGTGGTTCGTTATGAGAATATACGGGGTGGAAGGGATTCAGAAATATATCCGCGAACAGGTATCTTTGGCGAAATACTTGGAAAGTCTGGTGAGGGAAGACGACAGATATGAGTTGCTGGTATCAAGTTTGGGAGTAGTCTGTTTTCGATTGAAAGGTGACGATTCACTGACACAGCTCCTTCTGGATAGGATAGCTGAAAGCAAGAAACTCTACATCATGCCCTATTACTACCATAAGAATTTTGTGGTCAGGTTTGTTATCTGCAGTAGGCTAACCACAACACACGACATTGATTTTGCTTGGCATGAAATCAGTTCTATAGTGGAGGAAATAAGTAATGGAGTTGTAACATCACCCACGGAATGTGAGAAACCAAGAAATGAAAATACTCCTGCAGATCCATTGACGAAAGCTATGAAAGGCTTTTCTACGGAAAAAAAAGAAAAATTTAAACTTGGACTGTTCCTGTGAGTTATCCATGATGAAATTCATTTCCCAGTATTATATTTGATGTAAGATGTTATAAATAAATGAAATCAGTTTGTTATTATAATCTCCCACAAATAAATAGGAATCTGTGTAGTGCTGGAGAAGCTATTTAGTGAAATACATATTGCGATTTTGTGAAACTGTTAGGAAAAATCTCACAATGAAGTGCTTTTTGAATGAGCTCCATATTACTGAAGCTTCTGGACCTGAACCTGCTTTGTAATCAAAAAAGTGCTTGGAAAATTACATCAATGGAGGCTGTTAAATTTGTTCCACAGAAAGAATTTTTTTCCAACAGTTCGTTCCAGATTATCTATACTTATAGATCACTAAGTATAAGATCACTATACTTATCACTCACTCAACACTCAATAATTCCTCTATGTTTCTCCATACTGGTGAGTCCTAGGAAGCTTAAATTCGGTATATGGGTGCTTCTTGGGTCTTGTTTCAGAACAAAACACAATCACTACAAAACATAATTAAAGCACTCTAAGAGCGATGCCTGTGCGAAGGTAGTGATTCACATTGGATTTGAATCGCTGGAGATAAAAACCATTTGGAAAAACGTTTTCAGGGAGTAAATTCCGCATTAACGCAGTTCTCCAAATGGGGTTCTTTTACAGTCAAGTTCGAGGTGTACTGAGTTGAACCTTGAAACTGTGAGCAGTCACAGTCCGTCGTGTATTTCTGATATGTACCTTTGAATACTTCACGTGAAAGTATCTATAGAAGAGAGACAATTCTCCAACCTTTCTTCGATCTTCCAGACTATTATGGTTGCAAGGGATGTTCGCGTCTCCAACCAGGAGGATGACCCTTTTCTGGATGGAATCCAGCACCTTTTGAGTACGCTTAGGGGCGGAGCTCCATACATCAATCAATCAATCAAAAATATACTTTATTGTCAAAGAAAAAAATTCTTATTAACAAAGCCTAAATGAATAAAAAAACAGTCAATTCACAGCAACAATGGAACAATATAGATTCTAACGCTACATGTAGACAGGACATAAGATTCCACAAAGCAGTTAAGAATTGATTTACATGTATAGATAAAATAAATAAATCAGTCGGTTCGACCTCAAAGGTTCAGGTACTCAAAATCTGTCTTCAATATATTCTTCCAAGCTATAATATGCTTTCGTGAGTAAAAGTTCCTCCACACGTTTTCGGAATGTTTTTGACTCTATTATACTTTTCATTTCAAATGATAGATGATTGAATATCTCCCGACTCTCAAATATTATGGATTTTTTTGTTAATGTTGAAGTTGGCTTTGGTAGAGGTATATTGGTATTTTGCCGGGTGTTATATATTCTTTCTGATGGAAAGAGTATTTTTTCTCATTTGAATTAGACATACTGTTTCTAGAATGAAGATGCAGTAGATTGTTAGTATTCCACTATTTATGAAGGGTGGTCTACAGTGGTCCATACGCTTGGCTCAACATATATATCTTATCGCCCTTTTTTGTAGAACAAACACTGATTGCATCAACTACTTGCTACATAAACCCCAGAAAGCGATACCATACCTCAGATGAGACTCGACTAGTGAAAAGTAAGATATTTTTTCTGCTACTATTCCCAACTCCTTGGTGATGACCTTGATAGCGTAGCAGCCAGATAGAAGTTTTTTGTTGAGATGTTTTACTTGTTCATCAAACTTCAGGGTATTATCAATCCATAATCCCAAGAATTTGGTGCATGTCTTAGGTTTCCCGAAACAAATTTGAAAGAAATTATGTTTTATTCACACTGAAACTGAATTGGAATCACACCAAGATTTGACTTTCTCTAAATCAGTTTGTTGTGGAATTGGCCGCGGTGGTAGTGCGCCCGACTCACAATCGGAAGACCGTGGGTTCGATTCCTGCCTCGACCAGATATTTTTCTCGAGATAATTTATCTGGTTTAAGCTGGGATGATTCTGCAACCGTGTTAGGAATCACACGTTTAAAGGTAAGACCTCGTTAGTCCTTAGCTCGCACAAGTTTCTCAACTTCTGAGAGTTATCGTTCGTATGGGGGCGACAGTTGATTAACGGAAAAACAGATTTAAACAGAATTATATGTCTCAGAGAGTCTGTATTATTTCCATGACATGAGAACAATACTCCGAAGAAGGTCTGATCTGCGCTTCATGGAGCATCAGAAGTGTCTGAGGTGTGTTCAATTTTCTGGTTCGGAACAGTGTTTCAAGCTTTTGAGAAGCAGCCTTTGTACTTTCAGCCCAAAACTTATCGAAACAGAGAATGGAATTGTCTGATCTGATATTATTATATCCGATTCGAAGACATTAACCATTTCGAAGAAAATTAATGCCTGGGTTTTCGTGACATTGAATTGAACCTGGTTATTTTCACCCCAATTCAAAATTACTCCAAGATCCTCATTAGATTACGCTGCTACCGGTGAAGATGTGCAACCGCCGTCGATATTCTAAAATCCAAATGGAATGACGAAACAAGGGTGCTGTCGTCAGCAAAGCAATATATTGTATCCTTGGTTTTTTCCAATAAGTCATTGATGTACAATTGAAAGAGGGTTGCAGACAATATAGCTACAGCGCTACAACTCTTGAGTCTCCATGTTTCTCGATTGCGTTATTCCATACATGGTTGACATAGGATAGAAGGTCGCCTGTTGATCTTTGTTTCCGAAAGCCATATTGATGATCGTTCAAGATATTGAAGCCTTCCAAATATTTTAGGATATGGTGGTTGACGGCTTTCTCCATGATTTTTGATATCACTGATAGCAAAGCGACTGGTCTATAGTTATTTGGAAGATTTTTCTTGCCTTTTTTGTAAGACAGGTTGGAAAGTCTGCAAAATACTGGTGCGAGTTCATTTGCGCACTTTTTAAGTACGATGAGGGCCACTTCATCAGGACCAGAGGCCTTTTTGATATCGGGCTGTTTCAGAATTCACCTGACTAGACGTTGTCGAAAAGTAATTTCCGGCATTGTGAATTCTAGTGTGGGAATAGTGGGTGGTACCTTTCCCAGAAAGAAGACTATGGAGTGGGACGCAAATTGTTAAGCTAATAGATTTACTTTTTCTATGGCTATTGTTACAATTGAACCATCCGCTTCCGTTAGTGGTAGAATTGTGGATTTTGTAAAGTTTAGATCAATAGCTCTATTAGCTACCGACGAGAATGATCTAGACCCCTTGGAATGGGCAGGCAGTTCATCCCTTATTCTCTGATTTTCATTTCTTTGTTTTCATTTATCCTAAGTTTGCAGCTGTTGCGAGCATCAACAAACCCAGTTTGGTTTTCGGCACTGGGATTTTTGCGCCACTACCGGTAGGTGAGATTTCTGGAGGCGAAACACACTCAGTAAGGACAGTTGCGTCCATAAAACAAAATTATCTTTCCATCACTGTTCCTCCATGTCCTTGAATTTCCTGTGGATCAATTATTGCATCATTGCATTTGTGCGCGGAGCTAGCCTAAAATATGTACAAGAAATATATCATATGAGTACAGAGTGTCATGAAGACAGCTGCAAATCAACATCACTACATAGTATGAAACACAGTCGCTTCCCGCTATCTGTCTCGATGTATGCTTGCTCTTTTAAACTATACAATGGATTTTGATGCATCTTTTTCAATAGATAAAGTGATTCAAGAGAAAGGCATGATATAGTAGTGAAACACTGATTGGATATTATAGAATTAGAGGTTTATGATGTGATGTAAATGAACACTTTTTTGCGGTCACATTGCAAACGCTGGCTGAACCCTACCTAATAGATCAAAATAATGTACTATAGTACTGTACACCAAAAAAAAATCTACGAAAAATCCGCGATGGTATGTGTCTATCTCCTATGGATAACCCACAGAAACCATTTTTTATCCCTGTTTACCAGAAATAATGGCTTATTTACGAAGCGATTTTGAGCAATACAGCATTAGTCTTTATCCAATTGAGTACCTTGAACACATTATGTATTCAATATAGATCAATATGGCTCTTTACAGCATATTCTTTGAATGAATATTTTTGAAACTATCAAAGATTCAAAATGCAGCGACATAGCGGTTGCGGTGGTACCGGCCGTGAGTCCGGCGGCGCATACCGGCGTCGATGGTCACTCTTTGCCCTATGGCACTATATGATTAGCAGCGATCGCATTCGTTTTTTGGGGTTCTCTAGCAAAGAAAATAACAATACTTTTGAGACATTCTGTAGTATATCCAGTATCAGCATTGCACCCGTGCGGAGCCGGGGCGGCTCGCTAGTTTGATTTGTTCATTCATTCTTGCAAACTTACTTATTTCATTGTGATATGATGTATGCATTTTTCAAAGTTATCATATGAATGCCTGCAAAACATACCTCAAATACCTAGACACAATCCAAACCACAGTGTCTTCAGATCCAGTCTGACGTAAAGCATTCATATTGAATCCTCTGAACCATCTCTCTTCATACGACGAAAATACCAACTGTTTTCCTATTTCTTCAGGGTATCTGCTTACCTACAAAACCCGGTATTTGAATGTATTGATTCTATACAACCAGCTCCCAAAAACAGGCCCAGAACGTCGCTGTCACCTTCACAATTATTATACCCTATTTCAAGAAACACCAACCTCAAAGCTCCAACTCTTATGAAACTTTCTAAAACTTCGCCATGGACCAGAAAACCGCCATTTCTGAATACATGCCTGAGAAACTACAATGAGCACAATATTCCTAACATAGTCTCCATACAAAGATTCAGAAAACTGATAAATAACCAGCCATTCAACAAAATTCTTCATACTGACGCATTCAAAGAAGTTGATGGTACCGGATGTGCTGTTACTATACTCGATACAATAATAGTAACATAGAAACTTCCCAATTTCTGTAGTATACACACAGCTGAACTATATGGAATACTACAAGCGTTGAGGCCTCCAGTACAAGATAACACTAAACTTGCCATATGCACAGACTCCATTTCATCAATATTCTCTATCAAAAATAGTTACTCACATCATCCTTCGGTTCAAGATATCCTCGACACCTGTCACCACCATAGTACCAGAGGTGTCCTTGTGAATATCATCTGGATCCCTTCTCATGTAGGAAATGGGC